AATAATAATAATAATAATAATAACAATAATGACACTTGTAGGTACACAGGTTCAGTTGCAGGTGAAAATGGCTGTTATGGTCTTCATCCTGTCTGTTCCATGTGTCTGCATGGATCAAACCACTCTACCTTTGCAGGCTGCACAATGCAAGAAATAGATGACAATATATAGGAGGTGCTTTTATCCCCATTCCCCCTTCCAGACCCAGATGGTTAGGTATCATCTGCTGGGTTCAGCAAGGAAGGTGTGATGGCTGGAGCAATGTTGCTCTGTGTCTAGCCAGTCAAGAAATCTGCTTAGTGAGAAGACTTTCTCACCCTGGTACCATCTCAGAAGAATGGTGGTTGCTGCCTGCCTGTGAAAGGCAGAAAGTAAAAGTACAGGGTTTCAAATGTGTTGTACTCTTTGACAAGCTGGTATAGATTTAAGGCCATATTGAAGATCACTTGTTGTGATGGGTATTCACTACCCAGTGATGGATGAGTTATTTTTCAGAGCAACTGCAGAAATGTCCTTCAAACCCACCTTTTGTTTTGTAATAGCACTGATGGAATAGCAGTGTCCAGCCTGCCATGGGGCGATGTGTTACCCTGGTCTTTTGCAAAGCAGAAAAATGCTGCTGGTGGCTGAAACCATCGGCAGTTCTTTTCCTAAGGCTTCCAGGAGAGTAAAAATCTATTTCTTTGGTGAACTTTCAGGAGACATGAAATAATTTGGCACTGCAGGGAAGGCAAATGGCCTGTGCAGGTATATTTAACATGTAATCAAACAGCATGAATTACATGAGGATGAGCTGTGGCTTCAAACCACTCCTTACCCAGGGAAAACTTTGGCTAGCTCATAAGGAGCACGGCCTTCCCCCGAGCGCAGTCCTCACCTTGAGCCGTTCCATCTCCAGCTGTGCTGTGTATAGCAGAATGGGGGGCAGGGGGCAAGACTTTTTAAAGCCAGCCCATGTGCAAATCTGTCTCAAGGGCTGATGCTGAATGGATGTGTATGTTCTGTCATGTTCCCTGGAATTTTGACTGGACTGTGTTCAAAACAGTGAGGGGAGAAGGCTCCTGGCTCGGTGTGCAAGCTGGGCATCTTGCCGGCTCAGTAGTATGGTCTGTGAAAAAGGCAGTGGGGATAAATCTGGTTCCTTGGTGGGAAATTTGTTAGCCTTTCAGAACTTCTAAAGGATAAAGTGATGAGTTGATTCTCTGTATTTTCTTTCTACAAACATATCTCTATTGATGCTAATGCTGTTTGTGTATCAGCCATTAGGGTCTATCTCTTGGTGCTTTTATGTAATTTATAGACTTTCTCCAGTCTGATTTTGAGAAAACACGGAGTGTCTGTGAAGCTGGGAGCAAGGACATGCTCTCCTCTAATGTGGCTTTCCTGTTTTCCTCTGTTTCGCAGGTTCTTTTCGAAATGATGGTTTAAAAGCTGCTGATGTCCTTCCTATACTAAAGGAGAAAGTGGCCTTCGTGTCAGGTGAGTACATCTTTTCTGGATCTTTCCAGCCCAGCATGAGCACTGCCTGTCACATCCTGGTCCTTAGGGGGCTACAGAGCCACGAGGGACCAGTTTCATGTTTGGACTTGGTACTACTTAAATTAGCTCTTCTGCTAAGAAAAGGGCTGTATGTGGAACAGGGCTGTCCAGTAATACTCACAGTGTTAGAAACTGGCCCATGGCGATTTTTGTCATATTCTGAGAAACAGGTAAATGGGCAGCACAGGTGGGATGAAATGCAGCTTCTCGGCTCCAGCCCAGACCTGTGCTGTCTCAGCATTCAGAATGGTTCAGGGATCCTGCTTTGGGTTCAAGGTCAGTGAATAGCATTCATTCCCATTTGTAGGAAGCACTCAGACCTCTAAATCACTGATGTTTCATTTGCAATCCCAATCAACTTGCAGTTAAAAGTACCATTGATGCTGCATTTACATAATAGCTCAGATGCTCAAAGGTCTCCTGCCATCCTGTACAAGGATTTACAGCCTTCATTCAGGAGACAGATCTTGAGGACCTGGGGGTGGATGAGGACAGGACAATATGAAAAAGGCTTTGAGAATGGCTTGGATGATACTGTTTCTGGGGTGAATTACGACTTGTCAGGGAGAGGGGGAAGAGAAAGTCTGAAGCAATCATAATCTCGCATGAAGTCACTCAAATTGGCAGCATAAAAACAGGGTATTTCCAGTGACAGTGTCTCTGATGATTGCAAACCACTCAAGCTGCTTTTGGTGGTCTTCCCTGCTGCAATGAGAAAACCTGCATGGAAAGCAGCTGGCCCCTTGTTTGCAGTCTTCGCTTTTTGTTTCCTTTGTCTCCGCCGTAATGCTGGCTGCAGAGGGGAAGAGAGCAGCAGCGAGGCCGTTAGGTGCCCGGACTCTTCCTCCTCGGCTTCCCCCTGGGTGCTGGAGCAGGGCCCATAAGGAGGAGGCTCGTTACCCTGCTGAGCCATGGAGATGCCTGGCCAGGAAGGAAAATCTTTCACCTTGGCTAATGGTTGGTGTAAGATGCCTTCCCATGTAGCAACAGTTAAATGGTCTAGGGATCACAAATCCAGCAGTGACTTGGGAAAACGATTTGTGGCTCTATAAACCCTAAACTTTCTGACCAACAACATGAAAATCTAGGACTTTGAGGAAAGTTTGTGAGACACCAAAAGCCTTGTGTGAAAACTCAGTTTCCCACGAGTTTTCCCAGCAGTACTCGCATGCACGACTACTTTACCTCACACCGGTGTCTCATTCTGAACATCCTGAAATATTTTACGTGAATGTTTTCTTTCACTGCTCTGAAGAGGGGAGTCATGAAAACACATGGTACCTGCAGACTTGTTTGCGACACAAAGCTGAACCAGGCACTATGGGGAAGGAATTTATGCAGGGACCATACTGGAATTTAGTTCTTGGCTCCTGCTGTTGCTTCACATGGAAATGACTGCAGGATCATTTGGTAATTCATGGAATATTTAATAATGACAACCTGTCTGGATTGTTTATATAGCCCCTTCCACTGACGGTGCCTGTGTTCAGCTGTGAGCCAGAAGGTCTCACACCAAATCATCAGCTCGTTAGATGCTGTCCTGGGCCAAGTTTGCCTTGTGGGGGGGTGTTAAAAGAGCAGCGCCAACATGGTTTCACACCGTGATCTGCTGCAGACAAGGGACAGCTCGCTCCTCATGGATTCACCAGCCTCCAGACTTGTATCTGCTCAAAATGTGCCTGTTCCTGACACAGCTAGCTAGATAGCGGTCCTAGGATTTACACCTCTCCATGGTTTCCAAATGCAACAACTATGGGCGACAATTGTCAGGGGCCTTTGCAGATAAAATGCTCTGAGCTGCTGGTGTCTTACTGCAATAGCCCCAGCGTCACCCTCCAGCCCAGATTTTAAGTACTGTTCAGTCTTCCCCTGGGTTGTTGTAATAAAGCAGATTAAGAAAAAGGATTTGAGCACTTCAACTGATGGCTAGGTTCTTTTTAATGAAAATGGAATAACTTCCTAGAGCATGCTTTGAGCACAGAAGAGAAAATGTTTGCCAAAACAGAAAAATCAAATAGCTGGACTTTGCAAGATTAAAAAAAAAAAGTCATTCTGTAGTTAGCACAGACCCTGGGAGCACATTGCATTTGTAATCAGGCTTCCTTGAGGAAAAGGAGAGTTTTATTGAGTCTTCTTCAGAGTTTTATACTACAGTTAATTTTAATGATAACAGTACAATAAAGTTGTCAAGGGGGTTCTCCTTACACCAGCAGAATTTATCAGCACACACAAAAAAATCTCAGTTACATAGTTTATTTCTTCTCTCATCTGCTGCGGCTCACCAGCTTGTCTTTCAGTTTGTGATTGGACAGGAAAGCTGCAGAGAACAAACAAGCTCCTTCAGGCAGGGGCTGTGCCATACTTTGTGTGTCAGTGCTGTGGATGCTCCACACCTGGACCGTGCAGAGCAGCAGGGCAGAACAGGCAGGGAGCGACCCCGGCTGCTGCCTGCTCCAGAGCAGGCACAACAGGACCTGCCCGCACAGCCACGGAATCTCAGAGGAGCACTCAAGCTTTCAGAAGTGCACTTAATTTCAGAGCTGAAATACAGCTCTAACTAGCTGGGCACGGATTCATCCAGCCTAAATGCCGTCTGGGGCTCTGTGCCTGGCGCTTCCCCTTGGCTGGCTCAGCCGGCAGTGAGGAGCAGGCGCAGGGCTCTGCATCCGCATCCCTGTGCCGCGGGAGAGTCGAGGGGCGGATAACGTCGGGATTTTTTCCTGGAACTGGTTCTTGATTTCTTCCAGTGATCTCATGTATGAGCTTGACTGAACCCGAGCAAAGTTCATGAGTGCGTGTGTCTAAACAGCACCTGAAAATCCCATTCCAGCACTCATAAGCAGAGAAATGGCCTGAGCAGTCGGGAGCGCGGTGCATCCCGGCCATCGCTGTCTGATTGCTTCCATCACTGACCTCGTGGAAGCAGATTAAGCAGGGGCTTGGCAGGGGGGAGGCTTTGGCCGCCTGCTTGTTGCCTAAACCCTAATAAAGTCTTGGCTTTGCCTGGGTGGTTCACTGTGTTGCTTCCAGCAACAGAATGGCTTTGGGAACCATTAGGGAACGAGCTACAGGCCAGAGACTGATTTTTGTACTCTGGGAAGGAGATGAGCACAGAAGAAAAGAAATAAAACAGGTTGTACATTATTTTAGGTGGGTTTTTTCAGTGAGAGGTGGTGAAATATTTTGGAAGGTGGGCTTATAGTCTTTCCAAGGAAACACAGATGCTGTTTTAGAAGAGTGGTTTGACTTGGGACGTTGTTCCGCAGTTTCATTATATTTATAGGAGATTTTCTGTTGATCAGTGCAATACGGGAGGCAGTGTGTGAGGCTCTCAGGAGAGGGAGGGGAGCGTGTTACCCTGGTCCCTTCCCACGCGTGGAGCTTTTCATACACTTAGGCTATGAAAAGCTCGTTAGTTGACTAATGCCGCGGGTCTTGCTGGAAGCATTTGCCTTTTCCCCACATCCCACCCAGAAGAGTTTCTCAGGATCCTTCCCGGTACTTCCGATTCCCCGGAGGGCTCAGAAGAGCGGCAGCGCGTGGGCTCCCGCCTGTCACCCAGGTACCATCCACTCATCTGCCGAGGCAGGAGTACAAAGGAGGAGGCTGGCCAGGTTTCTGAGAGGGTGGTTGAGCACGGAGGAATCAACAGCAAAAGGCAGAAGGGTGTAATAAGTCGGTGAGCTGCTGCAGCTGTGACAAACAGAGCTTGTTCGGCAATACAGGAAGGTTTTCCAGGGACTTTGGGCAACAAAAGGCGCAGTGCCGGGAGAAGCGAATGTGGTAACAGCTTGGCCATCTCTGTCCATCAAAAGCCCACTGTCCCCAACGCCACATGTCTTGGGAGCAGCCTTGTGAGCTGGGTCACAGCGACGTCTGAGCCTGGCTGAGAGCCTGAAGGGAAAACAGAGACTTCCCGAAAGGTCTTTCAGTGGAGGAATTTCAGTGTAAATAGATCAGATGAAAGGACAACTTTGCAATTAGGTTTCACTAAATTTAGGCCAGCAGGATGAATCAAAGAGGAAGGCTCAGAGGGGAAGACACTGACCTTCCCAAAAACTTGTCTGAAGACACCGCAGGTCACTCACAGCCATAGGCACATGGGACCACATGTGCAGGAGTGTGTTTTTCTTTTTCTGCAATGGATGCACTTCACTCTTCAGAGGAAGGGTTGAAATCAGATCCCAGGGCCCTCCAGGCACTGGAAGAGTTCAGATCCAGGTTTCAGGGGGTCTCAAACGCTGATTTGTGGACACTGCAATTTGTATTGGGTTGGGAATAGAACTAACCAAAATATTTCATTTTTGAATGAGGTAAACATCTTCTATTTGCACAAAATGTTTTGATTTAAATTAAAAGTCCGCATTCTCCTCTTCCTCTGGAATGGAAATTTCAAATGAAACATCAACAATTCTTCTATATTTTGTTACAGAAAAATGTTTTCCATTTTATACCATTCCCTGATGTAGTTTGAAATCAATGGAAATTCCAAAAAGGGGAAATATGTTATTAGAAAAACACAGCATTGCTTGACTATTGAATTTTCCTAGTGATTTTGGGCCATCATGCTTTCATCTAGTATTTGCTGCTGCATTGATATAGAATTTTCTTTGAAGAAGAAAACAAGGAAGTTTAGACTGTAAAGTTTCCAGGTCTTTTGATGAGGTCTGAGCCTGCTGGGTTTTTGTTGTTGGTTGTTTGTTCCTTTTTGTTTTTCAAGAGTGTTAGGCCATTTTTGAGGATAGAGAAGAGCCTTTACCTATAGGGGCCGTTTAGACTTGGGGACTCTAAGGTTAAAGCAAAAATCAAAATGTTTCTTGGGATTTCTGATTTCATTTACAGGTTGTAAACGTAGTGTGCAGAATCAGTCGCTGTATTTCTTTCCATACGTTTTAACCGTAGCCATGGACTAAATTAAACAATTTCTGTGGAGAATGTCT